GGGTCAGAGAAAAAGAGGAAGACCCTCAATTAAATGGATTGGCACAGTGGCAGCATCGATGGATGCAAGGGTGGCAACAGTAATGAGGTTGGCCCAGGATCGGGCAGGGTTTTGTTCTGCTGTGCATAAGGTCATTATGGGTTGGTACCAACTGGATGGCACCTAACAACATATAACAACAACATAATCTGCATACAGCGCCCCCTGGTGTAAGGGAGAAGAACTGCCCCACAGGATTTCTGAGTCTGTCATCTTTACAAGAGCAGATCGCCAGGTCTTTCTCTTGAGGAGTTACTGGGTGGCTTGAACCACCTACCTTACAGTCAGCAGCAGCTGAGAACTTAGACACTGTGCCACCAAGGCTACTCAGACAGGCAGTGTTGTATAGGAAAGTGCACAGAGCTTGTCACTGGAATCATTCATTTATTCACAAATATTTACTGAGTGCCCACTCTGCCAGACGCGATTCAAGGTGATGGAAATACAGCAGTAAACTACATGGACCAAAAAACATCTCCATCATAGTGGAGCTACATTGTTGGGGACAAGGGACATGTGGAGGGGAAGAGAACAGATAACAATCAAAGAAATGAGCAAAATTCATAGCATCTATATCTCCCTGACTGAGTCATCACTAATACCTCCAAGAGGTTCTACAAGCATCTCAGTTTTCACAGTATTTCCACAGATAAAGTCTCAGCACATGAGATCATAATCCAAAATGAATAAATCGTGGGAATGCAATCCACCATAAGCAGATGCATAAACATGGGAATCAGAGAAAAGAAAAATTTCAGATTGTAGAAGGCTCTGATAAAATCTATAAAGCATGACCTTGAGTGTATCCCCACCAACCTTTGCATATTATAACAAAATGTGCAAAAACCTGGAGTTAGAAAACCAAGAGGAAAGAAGACGCTCAGCATTTCTCAAGCTGAAGGAACTGAGGACAAAAGACTCAAACCTCAATTTGCAATATTGAAGGATTCTACGGGGAACCATTGAAGGATACAGAAAGCATCAAAAGAAGATGGAAGGAATATGCAGAGTCACTGCACCCAAAAGAAATGAAAAAATTCAATCATTTTAAAAGGTAGCATAAGATCGAGATATAACAGTACTGAAGTTTGAAGTCCAAGGTGCACTGAAGGCATTGGCAAAGAACAAGGTTCTGGGAATAGACAGAATCTACATTGAAATGTTTCAACTAACTGATGTGGCACTGGAGACACTCCCTCATCTATGCCACGAAATCTGGAAGACAACTATCTGGCCAAATGATTGGAAGAGAGTCACATTTGTGCCCATTCCTAAGAGAGGTGACCCAACAGAATGTGAAAATCGTAGGACAATGTCATTAATATTGCATGCAAGTAAAATTTTGCTTAAGATACTTCAAAAACAGCTGCACCAGTATATTGACAGGAAACGGCAAGAGGTTCAAACTGGATTCAGATGAGGATGTGGAACAAGGTATATCATTGCTAACGTCAGATGGGTCTTGACTGAAAGCAGAGAACACCAGAAAGATGTTTCATTGACTATGCAAAGACTTTTGAAAGTGTGGATCATGACAAACTATGGACTACATTGAGCAT